AGGAAAAACGAAGTTAATGGAAACTTTGTATCTCTCCAAATTATACTGGGATAGCTGAAAGTCTAAAGCTGAGGCCGGCTCAGTAACTGAGCCGGTAGCTGAGAATCTGGTATAGTACGCCAATTCCAGAAAATAACAGAAAGTGTTTAGCTTCTATAATAAATGCTTAGGTTTTTCGTGGCTACTTTTCTCCTTGCTTGGGCATGGATTACCGGGTTGTCCGTAGCACTACCGGAAATATGCTGTAAAATGCGCTTCCACAAGGCGAAAGCATTATCAGTCGCTAGTACAATCGCACTGTCATGCATTGGGCTTGGGTCGAGTATCAAGTTTAAGCTCAAGCTCCACCAACCCTTTTCGCTATTTGGAATGGTATTTGACGAACACATAAACTGATACTGAATCAAGAAGCTAACCATGTTGGATCGTTGACCATTTCTACTTGAAGCTGCCTATTGTAGCCTTTCAAGACACGATTGACTTTTAGCGCAGTTAGATGAAGAGTGTGTCGGTGACTGTATTAAGAGTATCCTGTGCCGCGGGACATGGAAGAAAGTGTAGGTGACTGTATTAAGAATATTATGTACAGGGGGACATGCAATCGTATGGTCAAACAACCTGAAGTTGCTGGGGTTCGTGTACTCGCTATCCGTGTTTTCGAACTCAAGTTAGTTTTCGTTTGATGAAATAAACATTCTAAAGGACAAAAATAGAAAGTCTCGCTAGCCATAACTCAAACACCTCTCTTCATTTTTCAGCTACCAATCTTCAAATCTAGTGCCATCAAACCTTATTTGTTCACCAGAGCCAAAGTGAAGCTCCTCGCCTCGTCAAAATACAGTTTGAAGACAAGTTTAACAATAAACAAGTTACACTGCAGTACATGATACTCTAATACCAACAAAGCGCACCAATCCAGGTCTGTAAAAGCAACAACGTAAACCTCTCGTAAACAATAAATTAATATATTTTTGCATTAAGAATTGTTGTTTACGAGCGGTTTACGTTGTGGCAATATTACCTAATAAACGTTTTTGTGGAAAGATGGTAGAGGAGGCGTCTCATAGACTGACAGGAGCATATTTATGAATCTGCATGCTCGTGAAGCAGTCTCTACCGTATGCTTCGTTCGAATCGCCCTAAAATTTCAATTATTGTCAGAGTGAGGGTCATAACCGTTTGAAGGTTGGATTTTTAACCAGTGGGATTCGTTTGGTTGCATGACCCGTGGAAAGCGCATGAGCAGGGTGTGCTAAAGTATTACCAAGAATGCCTTACCGAACTACTGCCAATTAAACGCTCACTTGATTGTGCAGTGTTCCTTTGTACAAGTCTCGTGAGCAATATTTCCTAACGCTATCAATTTCAGAGCTTTCTCGGGCGAAGCACGTCTTTGTAATTGTTGCGTCACAACCATTAGAAATGATATTTATCAGAACTGAACTCGATTTCGAGATTTATCACTACAGACCTCGACTTGAAATTTCAACCAATCACAATGTCTCTTCCAACTTGGTAGTCTACCACATTGTAAAAATGTTTACTAAACATCGATTCCAGGTGGTAGTAATACCATTTTGCAGTTCTTCCTACTATGTTAGTGCATTTTTTTTCTCTATATAAATGCAACACTATCAATATAAAGAATAAATACATTTCAAAACTACGTACTTCTACTTTTCTATCAATCCCTATCTTAATGACATAGTGGTAATCTACCAGATTTTGCCTGGTGGATAAGCAGCTCTATGTTACTGATGTAGTGGTAGCCTTCTGAGGTGCTCTACTTAAATGCCATTATGGTAATCTACCATATTGCTAACTTATT